CAACACAGTGATTGAGGAAGAGACGGCCAACGAGACAAACACATCCATGCTCACAACTCAAATGTCCGTCACTCCATCGGTCAAGTCACGGACGACTCTGCGTAAGATGGACCTGGTTAGAGGCCGGAAGTGCGGAAGGACGGTCGAAAATATAATACTTTGAGAAGGCAATTGTAAATGGGTTGGTTGCATGGGAAGAGATCATTTTGAGCGCACAAAAGCATTTATCCCTCCGCGCGTCTTCTCATCCAACAAAACAACGCATTCTAGCAGTTCCCTCAGAATCTTTTTCGTCTGCTTCTCTCCTCGCATCGCCCAGCGAAGGATTTGCCCAAATCTCAGCGAAGCCAATTTGAACACTCAATTTATTGATTACTTCTGAATATTTTTTCATTTTATTGAATTTTGCAATTTTCTAATTTCTATTCTTTCGCGAAAGCTCAGAATTTCATCAGTTACTTGCTTTAATTCAATAATAATTAATTAAATTTGTAATCGCAAGCCCGCACTTTCCCAACAAAAGCTCTTAAGCTCCTTAAATTCAAAGCACAAAATACGAATTCTGCTTTGATGCACAGTAAATCAAATGTTCTAATCTGATGTTCGAAATTTCAGGCTGTCTTCAGGTAGATAAATTGCCTCAGATACGGTAGTTACTGTAATGCAAATGAAGACAGTAAGTGAACACATATGAAAGTTCAGAAATAAATCTTTGCAATTAGTGTACAGTTATTGCCTTCCACACTGAGTGCTGAAGAAAACTATAGATACTTACGTAAAATATGAATGTATTTTTGACAGTAGAGTTAATTTCTGATGAAAAACATGATGAGCAATTATTAGGTCAAAATAATCGCTTTGATATACATCAGATCAACAGCTCAATTCAAATACCGGGTCTTCGCAATGTTTTTGTGCATCCATTCAATGCCACTCACAGTTTCGAGCAAATATCACCTGTTGATAGCAAGAAGCGTCAATGTGCTATTTGCTTAAAACAGTTCAAATATCCATGTCCTTGAAAGCACATATGCCCAAGCACACACGTGAAAAGCCTTTTCAATGCCAAGTTTGTGGCAAACTTTTTTCATTTGGAACCGCCTTGAGAAAACATTAGCTTAGCTACCATAAAAATGAGGCAAAGTGTGTGGCAAAGTTTTTTGAATCCACGCAACGTGCATCCCATGCACGTTCAAACGAATCTAACACCCTTTCGTTGCAATATTTGTTTTCTCAACTCTTGGTAATATGAAAAAACACGTACGCAATTTACATCATCTACACGACTTTTTCTTGAAGTTCATCTAAATTTTTTGACTACCATTAAATGTATAGAATTCTCACTGAAATGCTCAGAAACAGAATTTTTAATGCTTTTTAGGGATTCATTTTTGGGTCATGCTTAATATGAACTGTGATGATTTTTTGATTTCTTTGTGAATTCATATTATTTTTCGATTCCTCTAGTCGTACTTAAATGCGATCTTTGCAATTGTCTTCGAGCATCAATTATCATGATATTGGATGATATTAATATGAATTTTACTTAATTTTAAATTTGCGTGAGTAGAAATTGTAAAATCAGTACATTAATCCCCGAGTGCTCTTATTAATCGTTGATTCACAAATTATACATGATATCTTTTACTTACGTTGCAAAATATAACTGTTATTTCAAAGAAACAAAAATAGTTATAGCTAAAGCAAAGTAAATCACTTCAATTGATAACAAAGTATTCATATTGAAGTAGTAATTTTTCAGCATGGATGTGACACACTATAAGAAATTAACTACTTTCGGTATTGTTTACCTGCATACAAAATTCAAATTATTATACTAAAAGTCAGCATTGTGATCAAAATCTCTGATCAAATTAGTATGAAGTAAAAAAAAAAAGATTAATATTAGCACTAAAGTAAATAGTTAGTACTAATTTTTTCACATTATCTGTAAATAATAGTGCAAGTAATAATAATAATAAATATTTGTAATAATAATAAAAGCAATAATATTTACTGAGAACGTGTTGAAATGATAAATTTGCTTATAGTAATTTGATATTAAAATACATAATTACTCAACATTACTCTATACTAATTTGCATATTATTATTGCTGTAATGAAGTAGTTTAATTTCAAAAAAGCCACGTAAAAAGTAAATAAACTTATATATATATACATGGAATTAATAAAATATATTTAAAAATGAAATGTGTGGAAGTATCGAAAATGATGAATTAAGTTTATTGATGCAATATGAAATGTTCTGAACCAAAATATGGTTAATAACTGTAATTTTAATTTTCTTCAACAAAATTTATTATAGCAGATTTTTAAATGTCAATTGATACTTCATCTTAGATCAATCGCAAATATCTCAGATTAGTCGCAAATATCCTGGATCAATCTCAAATTTTAATTATAACAAAAAATATATTCATATTAATTATTATGTGTTAGTAAAGAAATAACAATGTTTGCTTCTTCGGTTCATAGCATTTTTGAGACAATTTTTTAGCTTCTCCAGGTAATAATGCTGTTTTTGATGAGTTAAAAAAAATAAAATCTGCAAAATCTGCAGATGATACGAATGCTGACACTATGTAGGCAAAGCACCTTGCAATCAAATACGTACTTCAGTTTATTTCTTAGCCTTCAAAAATTTCGAATCTAAATTCGATCCAAGTCAGAATCCATTTCCTATTATCTTATTTTACAGTTCCAGTAAAATGTCATCCATAATCGCATGATTTATCAGCGTTGCATAGCGCGTAAGCAAAATAGTATCACAAAGACCGTCATTTCAGTCCGCGAAGATTTTCTCCGAAATCGGCAGGAATTTGAGTGGCGCGTTCTGAAGTACTTGTGGTCTCGTAACTTCCTACGTATGCTGACATGGTACGTCATTTACGTTTGCTATTTTTGGAGAGGGAAACAGTAAAGCATTGCAACTTATGAGTACTTTAAAGTTAAATCACAACGAAAATTTCAAGTCAGATTGGTTAGTTTGTTTGGTTGAAATGAGCATTAAGTATTGTAATACCCCATCTATTAGTCGTTTTATTCTCTTTGCTCAATTTTGGAATATTTAAGCAAGGAAAGGTTAGATCTTTGAAATTCTTCATTCATTGAATCAAAAAATTATTTAATTTTTTAAATCTATCCAAGTGTTGCTTTCGTATTCTCGTTATTGAATTGTTGCTAAATGTTAAACGATTTCAGGTTATATTCATCTGAAAATTAGGAAGAAAAAATTGCTATGATAAATTTGTTGAAGAAAATTAAAATTATGATTATTTTATTTTCAAATGAATAATAAATAACGTTTTGTTATTTATTATTATAATGATATTATTAGTTCTTCTAAGATTATGCGAAGGTCAAGTAACTTTGAGCAATTGATAAGTGAAGAAGAACTTAAAGATAGAACAAAACTTATGTATCTGCAATTTTAGTTTCTAAAATATGATAAAAAATATTAGTGATAGGAATATTGCACTGTTGAAACCATACTGCATTTAGTATTTGACTTGTATCATAGATTTTTTAGAATAATTCTCGTAGACTTTTATTTAAAACAATTAATTATAGAGATTGTGTGATATATGTCCTATATTCAGAAATCGAATCTACAAATTTATCGTAAATGTATTTGATGCATTGCAGCTGTGTAGACTTAGTGTATCTTAAATGAGTATTGTTAATTTGAATTGTTTTTTTTTGTTGAGTTAACTGGAAAATTAGTTTCATAAATCATTTCTATTTTTAATTTTCAACAAATGTTAAGTAATGAAAAGTATTATTAGTGTAGTTAGAAAAATTCGCATATATTTTGTGATAATAATTGATTATCAGTCTTTGATAATTAGATCATTAATTTGATTTTAAGTTTAAATGGTTTGTCAGAAAATGCTTTTCTTCCATTTATTTTATTACATTGTTCACAAATTTAGTACTTACACTCTTTTTTCTTTATTAAGTCAGTATTAAAGTTTTCTCTTAATTCTTTATGTAATTAATAGTTTTTCAACATTTATATATTAAGACCACGCATACCTAAATTTTGTTACTAGTATTGAAAGTGAACAATTGATATTAATTTAGGCAAATATATTTTAGTCTAGACAGAGA